ATTTACATTAATTTGAATTTAAACTAAATGTTTGTTTTGCAAAATAAAAATATTTTATGAACTTTTAAAATGCTGTGCATATGGTAATGATTATAATTGATACGATCATTATTATACTCTATTTTCACTTTGTACCTCAGAATAGCAACCCCAGGATTTGCTGTTCCCTTCAAAGAAACTCTCCTGTCTTCTTCTTTCTCATTCAACCATCTATGATGCAACCTTCATCAATAACCTGTGCTTTTTGCCTCCTCTTTCTTACTTGGAAGGTGAAGATGGAGACCTAGAGTGATATACCAGCACTACAACCTCCTACCTACATGATCTCATCTTTAAAATGAGGGCCATAGTCCCCAGCAAGGGCTAATTCCCTAGGCTTGCCTTTTACAGTCTATCCAATGTGTCATTCAGCTTCAAATCTCTTCCACTTAAAAATCCCGCTAAAGTTCTCTCAGCCAGTTAACTGGATCTTACTATTCCTGTTCTCGTTTTTGTTAAATTTGTGGTTTGAATGAGTTTTCCTGACTCCTGAGGAGGCCTGATTCCTGTGTCACCTCACAGTTGCATGTAGCATTTAAATGCAGAAGCAAACACAGGAAATATTGCCACACAGCACCCTGGGAGAGAGGGTAGATGTCTGACAGAGGGCACAGGGTCTCACTCAGAACTCACAGTATATAGTGTGTAAGCATGAAAGAAAACTTGTTAAAGAGAGAGGGACAATAGCAAACTAGGCCAAAGTCCCTCTTCGTGAGGTTGGACTGGGAACAGAGGACATGGCACAAGCTGTGTTGGTGCCTTTGAGGGACCACTGGACAGGCTTCTGCTCCCTGGTCTGTGCACCCTCAGGCCGTGTTGTCCTCTGCTTCTCCACCAGCTGCTTCTGCAACAGCCACAGCTACAGGTCTAAGCTGCACCAAGGGCCCCCTGGGCTGCCACTCAGGGAGAAAGTGTGACCCCTGCCCTGGGCTCCGTGGGCCCCAGGCTGAGGCCAGGAGGAGGGGGCAGGGAGGATGTCTGTGTTTGGGTTACCTACAAGCAGCTGTTGTAGCTGCTTCCACAGTGCCTATGAACACAGGTTTCCTCCATGTGGTCTTTCATTATATCTGACCAGACACGCAAATGTAAAGCCCACAGCTCTGCCTACGCTCTCAGCCGGGGAAAGTGGTATTCTCTGTTGTTCCCAGTATAAACCTGAAACTCATTTCTTGATTTCTGTACAGCTGTGAGGGGCAGTGCCTATCTCATGAGACCTCCTGACTACGAATCAGAGTGTGCATTCAGACACCAAGCAGCTGAGTGGAGCAGGCCGAGTGTGGGACTCGGGCCCGAGGATCGCTGCAGGTCTGGGGACTGTTTTCTCAGCTATCAAACGGGGCAGTGATTTCTTACAGGGATACTTGAACTTTAAGACAGTATTTATGATAGTACTTTGATATATTTAAAGCACCAGGCAGGTGTTACTTATTTGATACAGTGTGCTGTGTGAAGTTGAGAGAAAGAGAGAGAGAGACTGACTGACTTGGTCTACCCTACTGACCAAGGGTTGAGATCTTAGGAGAGGAGATAAGACATACCTGCATGTTTATACAGAATGGCTGAAGGTGCACCTGCATGTTTCTGATGGCTTTCAAGGGCTCTGGGAGCTCACTGGGGAAGAAGCTTCACGGGGAAGGTGACCATCTGAGGTGGGTTTTGAAAGATGGGCCATGCAGGTAGACACAGAGGAGCGTTGACCTAACAAACAAGTACTGGAGAGAGGGCCCCTGGGCTGAGGGAATAGGGTGAGGAAAGGTACAGATTTAGGAATGAATCAGGCCTGTGCAAACCACAGCAATAATTGGGTTGAATTGGAGCATTAGTTTGGATTTATACTTTGTGCATTGGAGGACCTGTGAAAAATGTCAAACCAAGGAAGTGTTAAGATCAGAGCTGAGCTTTAGGATGAATAATATAGGGAAAAACTGGAAGCTTTCCTTATGGGAAAATTACTAGGAAAATATATAAAACACCTGTTCACCTTCTAATGTGGGAGTACATTTGGAGATGAATCAGGATGGACCAGGACCCAAGCATCCTAGCCCCAGGGCAACAGCTGAGCATCCCGGCATGGGTACCTTTAAGCCATGATGAGCTGTCACATCCTGGATGAGGGTGTAGGGCTGCAGCACCCAGCACATTCTGGTCCCTCTGCACCCACTTGCTTTGCCCCTTCCTTTAGTTCTATTCTTCACTCCCCATTTGGTTTCTACCCCTGCCTGGCTCTTGACTTCCTTTGTTTCCCATTTTGGGTCTGGGAATACCCAGTACCTAGGGTTTAATCTGTTTCCCCAGATTTGTCTTTGACCCTTCCCTGGAATCTCTGCCTATTCTAGTCACTTGGAGGGACTGCTTGTTCAAACCACCCAACTCTGACAGAGCCCTGGCTCCTGGGACCTCTTCCAGCCTGGCCTTGCTGGAGTGACTGGGCCAGTGCAAGGTGTTTTAAGAGAACGAGAGTTGGATGCAGATTCAAATCCTGATGCTGCCATTTCCTAGCTTGAGTTGGGGATAACTGAACTACTTTGAGTTTTTGGTTCCTCCATGGTAAAATGAAGATAACATGGATCTCTTTATCTCTACCTGTCCATCTTTTTCTCTTTCTCTCTCTCCCTCTTTCTTCCTCCCTCTCCCTCCCTTTTCCTGCTTTCCTTCTCTCAACCCAGTTGTGAGGCTTAAATGAGGTAATGATTTAAGAGCTGCTTGATGTCCCATGAATATTGGTTGTCCACTGTCTTTTGCTCTGACCTTTCATTCCAGATGAAAAAACGTTTACTTGTGACCGCAGCACATCCTCCATTTCTGTCTCTCTAGACTCAGTTATATTTCCTTTCTTGCTGTTTTGCAAAAGCTTTGGTATAAATAGTTTAGTTATTTATGCTCCACCACTGCCCTGGGGGAGGTCCCTGAAGTCCCTAGACAGAACTTGAAGCACCTCTTCCTACAGAAAGAATGTCACTACATGTTGGCTGCATGCTCAGGTTCCCATGAAATCCTAAAAACATTGTCCATTTTCATGAAAAAGTATTTGGACAGATGTTGCCAAGCAAGCAACTTTCCAGAAACCGTACATCTATAACCTGAGCCTGCCTGTCCCTCTTGGGTCTCTGCCATCATGCTTGGTAAGTCTTGGTGGGTGGGACCACAGAGGATGCATTTGATAAGGTCTTGCTGGTGGGAGAGCAGTGTGACTTTAGACCCACAGTCCTGTGCTGTCCTGACTGCTCTATTTTTATAAAATGTTAAGAACTCAAGTGCAACAGGACAAGAGAGTGGGAAGGGACCTTTGCACACCTTACCTACCCCCCAAATTCTATTTAAACCATGCTTAGTAGGCAAGAACTTAGGCTATTATAGGATACACTCGAATGGCACGTGATTTTTCACAATGATCTCCTCCAAGGACTCTTCTGAGAAGTCCCTTCTCAATGCCTGTGGACGTACAGGCTCCGGATAAGGAAGAGAGAGTGCTCAGGGCCTTGCCTGTTGTCCCCACCATGACCCAAGAATCTACTCTCTGGACAGCATCTCCATCACTGCCCTCTCCTGTCACAAGTATAAAGGGCATCCCCTCCCTAGGTGAAAGTGACCCATTGAGACTTTTTATGTCCCAGCGACTAGGGAAATCCAGTCCAGGGTCTTTCTACCGTCCCTGTCCCCCCTCTGTAGGAAGGGAAGAGAAAATGGTGGGCATGCCCCTGGTCTTTAAACCTGTAACAGAATATACTATTACAAGTTACTTCATATAGAAGAATGTACTGCCTATTAAGCAACTACTGGGAACCAGGCATAGTACTAAGAATGTAGACATTAGCGTCATCGCCCTTTGGGAGCTCCCGGGCTTTGGAAGGTGCGGTGGCCTGAGCCCACCTAGCTAGGAGTGGCAGAGCTTGGTGTTAGTACAGCTAACTTCGGAGCCCAAGCGTTTGGCACTCCCTCATGCTGCACAGGATGTGGAAGAGAGGTGCCTGCTCCTGGCCTCTGCGGCTGGACCCTGTGCCTGTGACACACACAGGCTCCTGTGCATGCTTGATGGGACAGGGAAGCAGGGCTGGGCTAGGGGCTGCCAGGAGAGGCTCAGTGCCAGGGTGTTCTGCCCGCTGCAGAGGGGCACACAGCCTCAACCCTGCACCCCTGAAGTGTTAGCCACTTTCCCACATGGCCTGTGTGAGTCAGGAGCACATAGACACTTGGGAGCACGAAGAGTATTCCCGGTAGTCAGTAGTGGTAGCATTGGCAGAATGATGTAGTCCTCAGTTTGCAGAGGAGAAAACAGTTCTGAGCTCCCAGAAGCACCAGTTAACGGCAGAACCTCCAGCAGGACCCAGCTCTCCTGATTCCCCATCCAGCGCCCGTCTCCCTGTCTGGAGGTTTGCTGTCTGGAGCATCTGCCTTTCAGATGTAAACCTGTTGGGCTGCAGCTTCAGCCTGTGCCTTTTTTGTTACAGGAGATGGAAAACTGCTGATTTGTCATCCAGCCAAGTATTACCAAGTTTCCATCAGCCTTCTCTCCCGCGGGCTAAAAGCTCTTTGTTTCTTTGTTCTGAAAGGCCCCTTTTTCCAAGTGTTAATGTCTGCATTGGCTCTCCTATAATCCCCCTTCCTTTTCTCAGTCCTCACCTCAAGGGGAATGAATTCTATGCATGTTTCCTGTGTACATTTTGGCTCTTTTTTTTTTTCCTGCTCACTCTTTCTTATTATGGTGGTTTCACTTCTTTCAAGGGTTTCTCCCCAACTCAGCTCAATCTGCTGTCATGACCAGTGTTGGCCATGACTCTCAAATACTCAGCTTTCCTACGGACTTGAGCTTTTGGGTTCGGTTCTGTCCTCGCCCCTGTGGTAGTGCTCCCTGATGTAGCTAACACTTCAGACCCGAGGCAAGGAGGCAGCGGAGGCTGGGGCAGGAAGGGTCCAGACACTGCGCTTTCATTCATGTGGAACAATCTGTTTTTGTTTCTTAGGTACACAGATAAGCTGTTTTTCCCCAAGCTCTTTCTCCTGGCGTCAGGCTGCCTTCGTGGATTCTTACTGTTGGGCTGCTGTTCAGCAGAAGCAACCCTTGCAGGACAATTCTGAGAACCTTCCACTGTGGTTGCATAAGGTAATGGACATTTTAAGATTTCACCTGTTTATGGATAGACGTGAGACCTGAGGCCCAGAAAAGCTGTGCCAATCCACACCACACAGCTACGTGTTGCCAAAAAGAGCTGTAACTCCAGTTGTACAACTGTAGCACTTTAAAATCAAAAGGAGCCTCAGAGATACTTGTCCAGCACCTTCATTTAGCAGATGGGGAAACTGAGGTGTTTTTTTGGATTTTAACTTTGTAATGGCAGGCACCTCATGTGTTCTGGTCACATTTCTATTCTTGATGCCCAGCCGAGTGTCTGACTTGTAGTGGTGTCTCAGTACATTTTCAATGCCTGAATGAGCATTGTTAGATAGTGGCAGGGCCAGGACCCAGACACAGCTTTGGCTGCTCCTTTTCCACCACACACATGGTCTCTTGGAAAAAGTAAGGACCAATATAGAGTCCGTTTGCTAGTAGTCAGTGTGTTACTGAGGCATCAAGAAGCCCAGTGATAACTCCTTCACTTTATGATGGGTGCAGATACCGCAAGGAAGGGGAGACACTGCCCAGGAGACACCTGTGTCCCATAGAGAGGAGATACAGGCCAGGAGTGCTGTGATCAGTTGGCAGGGCGGGGTGGGGGTAGAGGTTGGGGATTACATAGGGCTGGGCCATGTGGAACTTGGGCCAGAGTTGTCAGGTTTGTGCAGGACAACGTTCTGTGCATAATGAAGAGGCTCCATTAGGTCATCTCTGTGTTTATGAAAGTAGGACTTTGTTTCAGCCTGCCATTATTTTCAACCACTGGTCCTCTTGTCTGTCATGAAAACAGAACGTTTGTATATTCTGCACTGAGGAAAGCATGCTGTTCTAGCTTCTGAAAGCCAAAGGCCGAAGTCTGTTTGATTCTCCTCTGACTTTGCCTCTTGCCAACACAGTCAGCATCCATTTTTAAAAAAAGAACAATTTAAGTCCTTGGCTTTGACTCAGGCCTGTTCCCCTCATGATTATGTATTGTGTGCCATTAGGCATAGTGATGCCCTGCAGTGACTCTCTTCCTTGGGGCTGGGCTTTTCTCTTTCACTTTCAGTCTTAGCAGTCATTGGGTCCTCGTCAACTTTGCCAGACTTTGTAAGCAGGGCAATAAGTAATAAGGATCTTCAGTAGGAAAGGGTACAGTTCCAGAAATTGAACAACTTTGTTTGCAAATCTAAATCCACACTGTTGTAGTTTAAGCCTATTTGTTACAATGGTCTTATGAGAGTGGAAAATTGTAATCAGTCAAAGAAGAATGTATAGCTTGGGATTGTCCTTACATTAGAAAGGTTAGAGAGTGCAAAACTTTTAATGCAGGAAGAAATTCAAAGATTTTGATTGGGGTGCATTTTACATGTAAGGATAAGGGCACTTGAAAGGTCAAGCCTAGGAGTCATAGGACTAGCTGCTGGCTATGAACTAGAATCAGGTCTCTGGGCTCCCATTCCTCCTGCAGGGTGGGAGGGAAGACCTTACAAAGCAGGACGGGTGGGCAAGCCTTAGGTTCCTTGTATTAGTGAGAGCTCATGGAGCTCTCTTCCTGAAGATGATAGTCTAGGTTGTTTGGATGGAAGTTTGGCTCAAGGTCTGAGCAGAGCTGTGGTCAGATTCATAGAGCTGGAAACAAAAATTCGAGTCAAGACCTGCCAAGTTGGAAGGACCCTGGCCAACACTGCAGGCCTGAAAGGCCATTGCTGAGGAGTAAGAGGTAACCCAAAAAGTAAACCAGCCCTCGGAGGGGCTAGAGCTCTGGTCTGAATCATTTCAATACCAGCTGAATGAGGGAGATAAGGGATTGTCAGCATCTCCAGCCTACCCACCCGCCAGAAGCAAAAATAAATCTGTCCCTCTGGTGGAAGGTCACTTCCTCCAGAGGGTCAGATTCGTGCTCCAATTTTTCACATGTAATGTTCAGCACGCAATTAAAAACAACCAGGGTTAAAGAAAGCCAAGACAAAAACCAGAACTAGAAACAGACCCACAGGAAAAGCAGATAATACATTGATCAGACACACATTTAAAATAATCATTGATATTATGTTCAAAGAAATAAGAAAATATGGAGAATTTTATAGGGAAATGGAAATTCTCAAACTGAGAACTCTAAGTGGCAGAGAGTTGATTTTTGCTAACGTTGATTGAGAGCCTACCATATACCTTCTGGTATGTTTGTTATCAGAGAACCACACATGATGTGGTCCCATCCTCTACAACTCACTGTTTTGCGGGGAAAACAAACATGTAAAGAAGATACTGAGAAGGAATAAACAGGAAGCTAGATGAAAAAAGGAGAGCATGGTTATCATAGAAACCAAGGGAAGAGTGTTTTCAGACAGAGCATTTAAGTCCATTAGATGTTGTTGCAGAGACGACAGTGCAATAAAAGTGCAACAAAGCTCACTGGATTTGGTGAAGTCATTGTTCACCCTGGCAGGAGTGATTCTAGTGGAGAAGTGAGCACCAGATGGCAGCAGGTAAATGGCCGGTAAGGAAATAAAGGTGATGGTCGAAGACAATTTCTTCAGATTTTTTTTTTAGAAAACCTCTGACCTAGAAAGGAGGGCAACAAGCTAGATGGTAACTAGAGGGAAGGTTGGGGGTCTAGGATGATTTTTTTAGTACGAGAGCCTTTTGAACATATTCAAATGCTGATGGAAATAAGAAGGTAGAGAAGAGGGTGACAGACACTGTCTGCGGAGGGCACATGGCACCCCCTGGGAGAGGGGAAGGCAGAGGTTGCTCCTGGTGGGGAGCAGTGGGGCCTTGAGCAACTGTGGAGGGTGAGGCTAGGTTATAGAGGACCATTGAAAACTAAATAGGTATACTGGTATACTGGTTTTATTGCTGACTAGAGGATTACACTACAGGATATTCAAGGTGATGTCAGATACTTAGACCAGGGGCAAGCAAACCTTTCTATGAAAGGCCAGAGGGCAAGTATTTTCATCATGGCCAATTGTGGTCACTGTTGGAGCTACTCAACTCTGCCAAGAGAGATGATATGTGCACAGTTGGTTGTCCCCAGACTTGGCTCACGAGCAGCCGTGTGCTGTCCCCTGTGCTCAGGCGATTGAGAGCTGTAGGGCTGGTGGGAAGAAGACAGATTTGAGGTGTCAGAAGGTGGAGCCAATAATATGCACTGACTGGACATGGGAGGAAGAGAGAAAGATCAGAGTTGAGGATAAAACATGGCCACAGTTTTAGGTGCTGGGTGAAGATGAGACCATTGGCCACTTAGAAGAAGTCTGGGGAAGGAGAAGGTTTAGAAGAAAAACCAGAGTTCTGCTTGAACATGTGAAATCAGAGATACTGGATGGCCCAGGGGGGTGTCAGGTAGGCAGTGGGCTGTGGTTCTGGAGATCCGAGGGTAGGCAGAGGCATAAATATAAGGTGGGGAAAAAGTAGGTTTACAGTTGTTCATGTGGAGAAATAATACAGTAAATGATACAAGAATAAACTCCATGTTTCACATACTTACAACTGTAAACCTGCCTTTGCCCTGCCCTGTATAGCATCTATCAGAGGATAGGGGGGATTTAAAGCTGTGGGACTGGATAGGGTTTTCTAGGGAGTAAGCATAGACAGGGACGAGGTCTGAGAGGAGCTCCAACATTGAGAGGTGGTGGAGCAGGAGGCCTGGGCAAAGGAGCCAGAGCTGGGGGTCGTGGGGAAGATGAGACGGGTGTGCTGTATGAATGGAAGACTGGATAAATTATAAAGAAGGCCTGTGTCAGTATAACAGCCTGTGTCAGACGCTGCCCTGAGGGCCTGAGACTCGGGGGAGCTCGTCATTTGGCTGGTGTCATGGGTTCAGTTGTATCCCCTAGAAGATATTCTGAGGCCCTAACCCTGTACACTCTAGAATATGATTTTATTTGGAAACAGGTGCAGCTAGTTAAGTGCAGGTGTAATTAGTTAAGATGAGGCCACACTGGAGTAGGCAGGGCCCCTGATCCGACATGACCAGTATCCTTATAAAATGGAAATTTTGGAGGCCCTAACCAGGTGGCTCAGTTGGAGCATCATCCCAATACATAAAGAATGTGGGTTCAATCACAGGCCAGGACACATGCAAGAGTCAATCAATGAAGGCATAAATAGGTGGAACAACAGGTGACTGTCTCTCTCTCTCTCTCTCTCTCTCTCCCCACCTCCTCTCTCTCTCTCTCTCTAAAATCAATTCTAAAAAAAGTTTTTTACAGAAGAAAATTTGGACACAGACACGCACAGAGGGAAGATGATGTTAATACACAGGGAAGGGATGGCCATGCGGTGACAGAGGCCTAGCCCGGAGTTCTGCCATCACGATCCAATAAAGTGTGGGGCTACCAGAAACTGGGAGAAACCAGGAAGGGTCCTCCACTAGAAGCTTTAAGGGGAGCATAATCCTGCAGACACCTTGAGTTTGGACTCTTAGGCTTCAGAACTATGAGAGAAAAAAATTTCTGTTGTCCTAAGCCACCCAGCTTGTGAGACCGGGGTTCCAGCAGCCCTAGGAAACCAGTGCAAGTCGTCAGACAGAAATCTGGAGTCCAGCCTAAGTGGAGGATTTGAACGGTACTGTGGCTTTCTGAGTCAGGCCAGATTTGGGAAATCACATCTGCTTTATTGTCACATTGACCTCTTTTTCAGTTTGTTTTTTTTAAATTGTGACAAAAATATACACAACATAAAATGTACCTTTATAACTGATTTTGGTGTGCTGTTCAGTGATATTAAGCACATTCACATTGTTGTGTGACCACCATCCATCTGAACTTTTTCACCTTCCTAAACAAGCTCTGTGCTCATCAAATGCTAACTCCTTGTTTCCCCCTCTCCCAGCCCCTGGCAACCACCATTCCGTTTTCTGTCTCTTTGAGTTTGCCTATACATATAAGTGAAATCAAATAATATTTGTCGTCTTGTGTCTGGCTTATTTCACTTAACATAATGTTTTCAAGTTTCACCCGTGCTATAGCATATGTCAGAATCCCCTTTCTTCTTCAGACTGA